TCTCCACACTGAACTCATTAGCATGCTAAATCGCATTTCACTCTCTGGGACCAAGCCTATCTTCAGCCAGAAAATGTCTCAAGGATTTTTCATCACTCAGGTATCTTCCCTCTAAATCAAATCCGTTTTAACAAACAGATTTATTTTGGCTTTATGTCCTCCATCTGAACACCTCTTTCAGTAGCTATATCCCTTTTGGCCCTTTGTATGAAATACCCAGAAAATCAGCATAATACAAAACATCTAGCAATATCCATTCAGTTGATTTTCTTCTGTTCAAAGGATCAGAATTCTCTTACCTTGCCTGTCCTTCCATCTAGACATAACTGATTGCAGTGCCTTCCACAGGAATATCTGATTATATATTGCAGAGCCTTTACTGCTATCTGTTCCTCTGGGGTACCAATGTCTGCTTGTTTCCATACTGTCTGAATTATGCCCTTTATCTGCCTGGGTGCATCTCTTCCCATCAACCGCAGTGGGGTCTGTCTCCTCTACAGCACTGTTTATGGTTACCGGTGAATGGACATAGATGGTCTATTTACATTTATCCAAAGGGGTTGAGCATAAAAAGCTCTGGGCTAAAAATTAGGGAAAACTGGTATAAGTCCTATGTATGACAGCAACTAAATGGATGACTTGAAAAAATATGTTTAAATTCTTTGATTCTTAGTTTCCAATCTCCCCATAAGTAAATAAAAATGCTGTCTATTCCTAACAATAGTTGGTTCAAGAGAAGTAAGACTAAAACAAGAGAAGCGATTTTATAAGCAAAAAATCTATTGAAATATCAGGTAGTTTGATTATTTTTTACTTTTACCTGTCAAGCTTCAAGATCCTTCTTTCACATTACAGAGGCCCTGAAGCTTTAGAACTGTCATACAGTAGTTTTGTATTTATAAAGCACAGCTCTGTAATTAATTTATAAGCAAAGAATCCAGACTTGAAATACAATTGTTAAAATTATCATTTTAGTTCTCCTAATTAGAGCATTCTTAAATATTTTATGAGTTTTACAATATTAAAAACTGCTAAATACTTCATTTAGTTCTTCCAATTAACACAAAAGGTTCAAAGAGAACTGCATCAGTAATCACTGTGATTATTAATGCTTTGGGTACCAATAAAGTATATGCACCTTCCAGGTCTAAGCACTGGGCTTCACAGCCATTCAGAAAATAATCCCTAGGTTATAATCATTAAGTATGAAAGGGGACTAAAATAATTGATGGTGTAGTGTGGTGGTTAAATTTCAGTCTCTGCTGGGAGGCTGAGGTGGGCAAATTGCTTGAGCCCAGGCATTTGAATCCAGCCTGAGCAACATGATGAAACTCCATCACCAAAAATGATAGAAAAATTAACTAGGCATGATGATGTGTGTCTAGTCTCATCTACTCAGGAGACTGAGATGGGAATAACACTTGAGCTCAGGAGGCAGTGATTTCAGTGAGCTGAGATCGCCCCACTGCACTTCAGCTTGGACAACAGAGAGACACCCTATCTCAAAAAAAAAAAAAAAAAAGTTTAAATCTCTGAAATAAGACTGAGTACAAAACCCAGGTTTGCTTAAAATGCTGATTGACACAAATCTCCCTACTCACTGATACTCCCCGTGTGACTTTGAGCAAGTTCCTTCCTGCCTCTGTTTCCTCATCTGAATAATGGGCAGAATAACACCCCCTAGTCCTTAGGGATATTATGATATTCAAAAGCAATAGCACATATGAACTGCCAAGTAATGAACAGAATTCCATTAATGATTGCTATTACTATTGCATGCTTTATTGACACCTGAATAATTGCTCTTATAAGTTAAAATTGGAGCAAGTCTTTTCTTATGGGTATCCAAAAAACATCTAACTATGTCCTTCCATTTGAGGTTTTAGCTGGTTTTATTTTGATTCTCATTTCAATGCCAGCACGGGTTCTCTAAAAGAGAACACTAGAAATACTCATAAAGCTTCTTCTATTTATCATTGACCCCAACAGAGAGGTCTCTATCAAAACCCACAGGACTGTCAAGCACTCATCTTTTCTATTAGGTTTTTGCTCTTTTGAGTTACCTTTTTCTTGTCAAAAAGGTAACTTTTTATAGTTTAGATCATTCAAAGTAAGTCTGTATTAGAGAAGGTCATGGCTTTTTTCACTGACTCTTACAATAAGACAACTGGAAGTACAAACAAGTCTGGAGTCTTTACTTGTACTGAGCTGACACTTCAGGGGAAATGCTAAATGAACATTAAACCCTCTTCACCTTTCCCACTTCTCCAGTTCCAGAGAGCAACTGACGTAGAACTCTGTCATGATAAGCTCCACACTAGTTAGCCAAACACTTAGCAAGTGCACATCAATATTAATGCTGCCAGGTTTCATAATCAGTGTTTGGATTGTTGTTAAAATATTTTAATATTATAATTGGGTGCCTCCTGCTCCTTTGTCCAATAGCTTAATTTATCCTAGTGACAAGCCTTAATTTTCTGAAATATTTTAGATTTGTGTCCAGTGTTTGGAGAGGTCCAGCTAAAACTTCAGGACCTATGTCCAGATATGTCAATTGCATACTGTTACTCAACTTGAACCTTTAATTATATCACTGAAATCATTCTGCTACGCTGTTTCTATCTCCTTTCTGTGGGTAGTCTGCATTTTAAAAAATACTAAAATAATAATCCAGTAATCTCTAAGATCTTATCTAATTTTGATAATGTATAATTTTAAGAACATCTTTCTATCCTAACTGAATATTCAGGCATAAGAGCTAGAAAGAAGGGATGTGGAGACTGTTAATGAGTCTGACCCTCAGAAATAAAAGGCACCATTGGAAACTTCTATGAACTAAATTAAAAAAAAAAAAAGAATTAGAAAATAAGAGATTCAAACAATATGTCTGCCATCATTTGCTTTATATAACAGATCAAGGACAATGACTGTGATATCTTCGTGAGTTTCTTGAGTTTATAATTTTTAACATCCCCAATATTAGTCCATGATTGCTGTTGGAAGACCTATCAGTACCTTGAAGTAGTTATCATTTAAGCTTTCAAAAGGAAAAGACCTGTGTGGTGGTTTATGGCATGTTATGAGCTGGAACCTGTGACAAAATATGCAGGAGACTGTGTCTGTTGTGCTGTGAATTCTAGAGAAAGAAGGCTCCACAGCCTATGGTAAATCTATGGAAAAAGAAGTCAGCCTGGTTCGTGATTTAGTTCCTCCAGGAATTTGCATGGTGGCTTACGCCTGTAATCCCAGTACTTTGGGAAGCCAAGACAGATGGATCCCCTGGGATCAGGAGTCCAAGACCAGCCTGGCCAACATGGAGAAACCCATCTCTACTAAAATAGCTTCTGTCAGTATAATAAAAGGAAGGAATTTCCTATGGAAAACTAAGAGAAGCTAGAAAAATAGAACCATCAAGATTATTAATATAGACATTTCTAGTTTACAAAATTTCAAATCTACATGTAGTAACTTTCTTCCACTGCCATAAAATGAAAATAAATTTCTTTGGTGTACATAATTTGGAAGTCTATTAATGTTTTTGCTGAAAAAATGATTTGATAAAAAAATAATAATGCTCATCTTTGTGCTTGATAAAGTGTACTTGATAGGGCAAATGAGAAATATTTACATTTCTAATAGCTGGGCTGGGTGCAATGGTTCATGTCTGAAATTCTAGCACTTTGGGAGGCCAAGGTGGGTGAATCACATGAGCCTAGGAATTCAAAACCAGCTTGGCCAACTCAGTGAAACCCCATCTCTACTGAAAATGCAAAAATCAGCCAGGCATGGTGGTGCATTCCTGTAATCCCAGCTACTCGGGAGGCTGAGGGAGGAGAATCGCTTGAACATGGGAAGCAGACGTAGTGAGCCGTGATCTCAGCTGAGGTGGGAGGATCGCTTGATCCCAGGAGGCTGCAGTGGGCTATGATCTCACCCCTGAACTCCAGCCTGGATGACAGAGTGAGACTTTGTGTCAAAACAAAACAAACAAAAAATAAAGCAAAACAAAAAGGTGGCTACAAGCTAACTGTTGAAGTGAGATATATGAAAGGCAAATGACAATTCTAGAAAATATACATTAAATGCTGAATGAATAGTACAGGCAATTTCTTCACAACAGGTAGAAATCACAAGGGCTGAATAAATTGATGGTTTATAAAGAAGGCATTCCTAGCAGGAAGAATGAAATGAGCAACATATGAAGACATGAATCAACATAGCATGCCTGCATGATACACACAGATCAGTTTGGTTAGAGTAAAGGTTTCTGTTGGATGGTATGCAATATACATCTAGAAACATAAATCAGGGATAAACTGCAGTAGAACTGGAATACCACCACTTCACAATTGAGTTTTAAGAAGGTAGGTGATACATGCACAGAATTTATTGGGAAAATCAATTTGGCAGACTCTGCCAAAAACTCTAAGTCCTCTGAGTCTGCATTTCTTGCAAAACAGTACTGGTCTAATTATTTTTACCTTATACCATCAATGGTATCTTTCCTACTTTATTAATAATTAAGTCTTCAACATATGGAAAACCTCCTTGCAACAGGACTTTGTTTCAGAATATCATGCAAGAATTATAATTAGAAAATAATATATTAGGAGTAGCAATTGCCATTTACTGTTGAGAAGATCATATGCAAAAAGACTAGCCAGATGTGATTAAGTAGTTAGTAGATGCTTCTTAAATTACACTAAAATGTCACAATATGGGAAAAAAAAGCATTAGGAAATAGTATGATATCAAAATCACTTACTAATATAGCACCTAAAGACGAGAAAGGATTTTGTTTTGGAGATTGATAAGAAAGGTATACTGAATGAAGCTATGCTGCCTATGTAAAGTGTGTAATAGCTCTCTCCTAACTTTAAAGAATGAAAACATAAATTTAAATGGTCAAAAAAGGTGTTTTGCTTGAAATGCTACAAACCAATGCTCTCTTTATCTTATAACGGGAGTCTGTGTTTTGTGTTTCCCATTGGTTTCCTCAGACTCAGATTAGTCCTAAAGAAGGGTGGCAGGTGTACAGCTCAGCTCAGGATCCTGATGGGCGGTGCATTTGCACAGTCGTTGCTCCAGAACAAAACCTGTGTTCCCGGGATGCCAAAAGCAGGCAACTTCGCCAGCTACTGGAAAAGGTAGGTGTCCTGTGTCCCCTATGCATATTTTAGTAAAATTGACCATTCTTTGAAAAGGATATATGGTAGAGCTGATAATAGTGAAGAGGATTCTTTTGATTTTTGTTCCCCTTCTCAAATAAGCTTTTTTCTGATCCTTGAAAGGGCTACCTCAAGCTGTCCTTGTCCTATTTCTATGAATTTTTAATTTTCCTAACCTTGACACTTTAAGACTGGCTCTCTGCCATATATCTTAATCTCTAGTTAGTCTCTCATTAAGGAACAACAACAACAAAAAAACATTTTATGCTGATGCCAGAAATTCAGCCTCGACTCTCAGAATCACACTAGATTCTTGGAGTTCATACTTTTGGTTCCCATAACAAACTTGCAAGGAAGTTAAAATAATTACATGCAACATGCAAGCTATCTGGACAGATAATGAATAATTCCAAGTGTTTACCATCATTCTCCAAGTCATTCCTTTTAACATTAAGCTCTTCAATTTCATTCAATAAAATTCTCTCCACAATTTACTTAATATGGATTCATAACAATCAAATGCAGAACGTTTTGAATTTATTCCCTTTTACTGATAAATGTGAGCTCATGAAAAGTTATTTATGTTTAGTTGGGAGGGAAGAAAACCAATGGATGGTTCTGTCCATTATTCTCACTCAGACTTTCACTGTGCTGGCCTCTAAGACAGCTGGGGTGGCCAGATTATGGAAAGATGATGTTTGGATTTTATATGTCATCAGGAATAATAAGATAAATTAGGTAGTATGTGTTTTAGAGGACACCACACTTAACAATTCACTCTGTGTGATGTCATTTTTATGATCCACCCACACATTTATGGCATTGAATAGAAACTTTTTAACAAAAAATGAAGAGAAGCTAGAAAAATGAAATCATCAAGTTTTTTTTTAATAGATACTCATTGTTTACACAATTTCAGATTGCCATGGTGACTTTCTTCTACTGCTATATAGCGAAAATAAGTTGCCTCTGTGTATATTCTTTGCAGGTATATTGATGCTCTAAGATTTTAAGATTTTTTTCATGTGTTTATACAAAGTTTAGTCTATTCCTCCTTCCCCTCTTCTTGAAGTTATCATCACCTGTTGGCTCTTTCTTCTTAAGCCTCCTTTTATAGCAAAATCCCATCCTGTTGGCTCCCTCAATATCTGTCATCTGACAAGAGTATATGCCATTTTCATTCAGAATAATGACACCAGCTAACATGCATCTAAACTCTTAGAAACCATGACAAAGCCGGGTAATCCCAGCACTTTAAGAGGCCAAGGCAGGTGGATCACCTGAGGTCAGGAGTTTGCAAACAGCCTGGCCAACATGACAAAACCCTGTCTCTACTAAAAATGCAAAAGTTAACTGGGTGTTGTGGTGAGCACCTGTAATCACAGCTATTCAGGAGGCTGAGGCAAGAGAATCGCTTGAACCCGGGAGGCGGAGGTTGCAGTGAGCCGAGAACACTCCACTGCACTCCAGCCTAGGTGACAGAATGAGAATTATTATTATTCTTGGGTTTTATTTTCCAATGTTGATTTTTTATTTATATAAAAATTCAAATATATAGCTTAATTGTGTTTGTTTACCAGGGAAATTATTTACATTAGTAAAACAATCTAATCTTTTACATCCAATTTTGCTTTTCTGTTAAATTGTATTTCACTTCATGTAATCAACATTCTTCACCAATCTTCTTTTCTACCCAGAAATATCTGTTTTTCTACATGAATTAAGGTGAAACATTTTCTTAGATACCATACTTTATCTTGTGTTGCTGTTTTTCAGTACAATATTACATACACCTACACATAGATTCAAACATGTCTTCAAATACCAGTTGAAAAAATTCAAATAAAGTATAAATGTCAGAAGTGGATAATTCCATTTACAGGTTCAAAGTAAAATGTCTTTCAGAGCTATGATAAAACTGGGAATTAGGGAAAGACGCATAAAGCAAAAATGTATGAAAGTATTTCACTGGTTGGTTGAAAACAACATAGAAATTAATATGACCACTCCATCCATCCAACATGTAATTTGTCTGAATGTTTTAAAGAAATTCTAGAACATCATGCCTTTAAAAATCTATTAATACATAAATGACCAAAAGAAAACACAAATAAAATTTATTAACAAAATTGAAGTCACTACAAGGTAGATGTATTAAATTTACCATGTGGTAGTTTTAGGGCAACAGAGGAATCCTAAATTGTGTGCACTCTTTTACAGTGGCCTGAAGGAGGTTAGGTAGCACTGGTTTGCTGCACCGATCCAGAGAAGAAAAGACATCTGAGACACCATGGTATTTCAGAGTGACCCGGTCACTGGCTGCCCTCTCTATAGTTTCACATGTATCCAAGACACCAAAGGGAAAACAAGGACACGAACTCTAAGCGCCTCCTTCACTTTTAACCAAAAATATTGATTTAGTTGTATGTAAGGGAATGTTGTTAACAAAAACACTATTTACAACAAGCATTCCCATTATTAGTGTATTTTATATTTTATATCCACTTCTTTCAATCCTTATAGATGGAGTAGTTATCTAAATTTACATAAAAGAAAACTGGTTGTCCAGTGTCATTCAATCAGTAAGATGTGGGCTGTAACATCCATCTGCATCTTCTCAATGCTATACCAGTGTCACACAAAATGCCACAGGGATATTCACACTTATTTAAGTGATGCTCTGTTAAACATTTTTAACAAGTATTTATATTATTGAACATTAGGAAAAATACAATTGGTCTCACAGTATTTCAGGTCTTAGTATGCCAAAACTAAAAGTGTTCACCTAAAAAAGTATACGTTTGTTAACTACATAGCTTCCCTGTACAGTTAAAGATGTGTTGTATTATCTAAGCCAGTAGTTCCTAAAGTGTGATTTTTTTGAATAGGATACTGCCAACATCCTCACCAACAGAATCAGTTTAAGAAACACTGTACATGATACTTCACTCCTGAAGATTTCTAATACACAGTTTACTACAAAAGATTTTGTTAAGTCCCACAGTCAGGAAATCTGTTTATATGTGTTAAACCCAAGTTATCCAAACATATTTAATTAACAGAACTTTGGTTTTACAAGTACCGCCTCACTAATTATGAGAGTAAATATCTAAGTTCATTTGCGTCTAAGTTCAAAAAGGCCCCAGATATTTTATTTATACGAAGAACAAGAATAAATAAAGATTCCAAAAGAATTATCTAAGAAAGGGGACAATGAGCTTGTCAAACTATGTAGGGAGAGCCTAAGCACAGAAACACCTATGGAAAGCTGAATCACAGAACAACTGCAGAGATAAACTGACAAAAAGAGGGAACACAGCAGACAGGTCTCCTTCCCTGTGCAAGTCATCATGGGTATCCAGTCTCCTGTATCGTCAGGAAACGGATGCTCCATGGGCCTCCCTAGCCATTGGGAAACTAAACAGTCCTAGGTACAGGCAGCAGGAGATGCTTAAGACAATCCGGAGCCAAATGCTGCCCAATTAGACAGCTCTATCTCTAGCCATTACCCCAAATGTACGTCTTCTAATTACACATGATTCTGCAATATAGATCACAATCAACTCTCAGCAAAAATTCTCTCAGTGCATTTTCCCATAACACAAATGAAGTTGAAAATTTACTTTATAGGGTGAGTCAGAGGCAAAAATAATGACAGGCTATTTAAACTTTATCCAGAATACCTTATCTTGCCCATCATCTTCTAATTGTATGGACTTGGTCCAGGTACATAGAATTATTAGCAGGTTATCAGTCATACTAATGATAGATGTCTTCACAGACAAATGCCGCATTTAAATAGGTAGACAGTTTTTTTAATGCAAATGGCTTTTCCATATTCACGCTTTACCACAAATGAAGTTAGAAAATTACATTGCATTGCATTTATCCACAATGGCGTTACCATGCTTTCAATGTTGTCTTAGTAATTTTGTGCTGCACTAAATATTTAAAAAAATTAAAAACAAAGCTTTCTGAATATAAAACTGTTAGTAAATTAAGAAATACTTACAGTCCTGAAATGCTGTTGCCTAACCAGAGACAGGAGGGGGAAGACTCCTCTTAAAATTCTAATTACTTATTGTTACTACTACAAACCCAAGATAATTTTACTCAATAGATATTTACTGAACACTTATTCTGTGCCTGGTTCTGTGTAAAGTCTTAGAAATGGAAGATATGAGTAAGACACAGCTTGTAACCTTATGGAGCTCAAAGAGGGAGAGCCACTTCCCTGCCCCTACCCCACACCCACATAACACAGTTAGTTTTAAGATAAGCCAGACTGTAATATGTTCTAAAAGAACAGCATTCAAACAGGGCAAGATGATGAATCAAGACAACATAGGGAACAGAAAAGAGTGAAAAAAAGGCAAAGAACTGAGGCAGGCAAGGTAGTATTCATTACCTTTTACCAATATTATAGTTCTAAGGAAAGTATCAACTATGGGACCTTTACAGTGTCTGGTCCACTAAGCATTGTGACTTTATCTGATGACAAAAATTTGTGCCTGAACAAGTCATCCCTTTGTAATTCACATTTTTTTCAATGAAAGTAACTTTTTATTGATCATATGTATGTGTACGTATATGTATTTGATTTAGAATAAACAGATTGGCTGGGCTCTGTGGCTCAGACCTGTAATCCCAGCATTTGGCAGGCCAAGATGGATGGATCACCTGAGGTCAGGAGTTCGAGACCAACCTGACCAATACGGTGAAACCGCATCTCTACTGAAAATTACAAAAATTAGCTGGGCCTGGAGGCGAGCGAATGTCTCAGGAGGCTGAGACAGGAGAACTGCTTGAACCCAGGAGGCAGAGGTTGCAGTGACCCAAGATCACACCACAGCACTCCAGCCTGGGCGACAGAGTGAGACAAAAAAAGAAAAAAGAAAAAAAATCAAATTATGTAAAGATTTTTACATTTACTTTTCTCATTGAAATCTTTCCATGTTGAGCAGTACTTCTCAAACTTTGATAGGCATAGAAATCACTTGGGAATCTTGATAAAATACAGATTTTGATTTAGTAGTTCTGGATGAACATTTCTGAGATTTTGCGTTTCTGACAAACTCCTAGGTGATATCAAAGTTGTTGCTTTGAGTACTAACAGTACAGAGATTACCTTATTCTTTATAATGGATCATTCATATTCTATTTCTCTCATTATTTAACAGCTCCCCATTATTAGTGGCTTTCACTTTGTTTTCAGTTTTTTGCTGCCATAACAATTAGACCAGTCATTTTTTCCCTTTCATTTCTGCATATTTTATAGGTTACCTTTTTTTTTTTTTTACTTCTTAATAGCCCAGGGTTCAGTGAACCTGGGATGGTCCTATTGGCTTAAAATGTGTTTAACACCCATCTGCGAAGCACTTGATACAGTTACCATTTTCTGGATCCCTTAACCACGTTGCTGTTGAATTTATGCAGTGTTCCAGCACTGCTATAACTTGTCTTGCTCAATTCCATCTCTCTCCTGGCACTACTTTAGACACGTTAAGAACTTATTGTACTAGAATGAATGCATTCTAGTCCTCTTGGACACTTCACTACCATCCGTAATTGCTAAACATCCTAGATATTTAAGAAGTCAGAATTAGTACTTACTGAAACAATTTATTTTGACATTTAACACGTTGGGGTATTTTAAGCTTACAAACCCTTAAAATGAAAAACCTATTTTTAAAGCTTATTTTTCTAATGTATTAAACTAACTTATATTCAGTCAGTTCTAATGCTGGAATGCCCATTTTTAAATTTCCTGTCTAGGTATAATTGTCTCTTGCTGAATTCTTTAAATGTTTATCATGAAGAATTGTTCTTCTGAAAATGTGTCATATGGGAATTCAATTATGAATTTGGCACTTCTAATTTTTATATTAATGGCATTTTTGCTGTTTCTTAGTGATTGCACAAACCTGCAAACAGACAATAATTACAGACAATCTTCTTGTTTAACAGGTTCAGAACATGTCCCAGTCTATTGAGGTCTTAAACTTGAGAACTCAGAGGGATTTCCAATATGTTTTAAAAATGGAAACCCAAATGAAAGGGCTGAAGGCAAAGTTTCGGCAGATTGAAGACGATCGCAAGACACTTATGACCAAGCATTTTCAGGTGGGTTTGACTTCTGCAATCTTGTCAATCCAAATCAGACCCTAATAGGATGGACAGCAGTGGAACAGTCAGCTAGAATTGACTGTTCATTGGCCCACATATGCAAGGTAAAAGACGCATGGAGGATTCCAGTCATCCTTCCACTGAAACTGACTATTAGCAGCTGACAGGAAGACACAGAAGGCTTGCTATGAAAAAAGCCTCATCCTTGTAGAGTTTGGTAGATTTTCTGAAACAAAGGGAAACCCCAAGGAAAAGTAATAATTAAATTATAAATATTTCTCTAATGGTTTCATGCCCTGCTCATATGAAGAAAGATGTAGATGACATAGATTTTTAAAAGAAATAACTATGCCATAAATATGAGCATATAGAGTTGTTTTATACTTTGCACAAATCAAGTCTTTTTCTAGATTTTAAGTGTTTTACTGGCAATCATTTACAAATACTGAAGATGGAGAAATGAATTATGCTTTGTGGACTTTTGTTAACTATGTGTGAAAGAGTCATGAATTTTAAGGAAAAACTCTTGGTCTGATAATGCAGTCTGAGCTTCTGTTAAAAGTAAATCATCTGCCTTTCCAAGGCACAGCCCACAGTTCATAAAACACACTGTGGTTGCCCACTTAACAGCCTCTGTTTTTCTTGCCAATTAGGAAGTGAGATTCCCTACTGACGTTGAGGGAGTGGATCTGAATTCAAGCCCTTCAAGGAAAGGAGCGCTTCCTGCACCTAATGGTGGCAGGTGGGGAGCTAGTGAGGAACATGCAACAGAGTCTCTGCCTAACACATTTTAACGTGGCAGAAAATTTCATGGTTTTGTAATTTTCTTCAGTGGTACTCAAGAGACTGAGTAGAGAGGTGTGGAAGAGAATTATACCCTGAACTGGTTTTAAAGCTTTACTAAGAATGTCATAACAGAAGTAGAAGAGGGAGAGAAAGTTGAGGTTATTGAAAAGAGAGGGAATGGAAATAATTAATCATGAGATTTAAATTGAAGAGAGAAGTAAACAAAGCCAGCAGGTGAAGATATTAGGGCAAATCAGAGCAAGACTTAGAAGCTATAATAATAAGTTTAAAGATTATTGAAAATGAATGTATGAGTGAAATGGATAAATAGGAAACTTATGGATAACGTAAGTATATGAGGTTGAAGAGCAAAATAATTAATTTTAGGCAGTATTTATTGAGCCCAAACCACACACAAAGTACGGCTAGCACCTCTGCTGGATGTATTATACGTAATCTCTCTTCTATGAAAGACAACTAACACACAGGTGAATTGATAGTGAGTAGAGGCATAAACATTACTTAAAAGCACCAAGGGAAGAGCAAGTAATTTTGTTTTTAAAAGGGGAAGAATTACAGGAAAGCAGTTTGGGACTAGTGACCCTACCCCTCCACTACTAAATTACAGGGGGTCAAGAAAACCAAAAGATTTTCTGTGTCAATTTTCAATGCTCAGAGTTAGAGTGTAGATGGTAAGGTAACAAGGTGAACATAATGTTGAGGTCATCGGCAAAGTAGAAAATAGTAAGCTGGCATTTAGTTGTGGGAAGAGCATTCCTAGAAGGAACTAACCGGGAGGAGAGGAGCTCAGACTGCTTGGTGCAGATGGACAATGTAGTGAGAATTCTGCAAAGCCCAAGGACAGCTTGAGCGTGTCAGGGTTGACAGGGCTGAGGAATGAATAATGAAGTATGTGCATCTTTGGGAACTTTTGAGAGAAGACGGAAAACAAAGAAACAAAAAAGATACAAACCTGAGATAAACCCAAAGAAATAATGTGCCTAGTCTATAAATTTCCTAGCAGCAAATCAGCCAGGCTACTAATAAGAAAACAATTTACAGGCCACAGCACCATGTGACATAATGGTTTGGATTTTCCTAGTTCATGTAATCCAAGTATATGCTGAAGTTATATGTCAAAATTCAAATAACAGTAATGATTACAACAATAGCTATTTTTTGGAACAATTATACATATTCAAGGCACGCTTCTGAGCACTTTCAGTATGTTAACTGTATAATCCTTACAACAATCTTGTAATTCAGGCACTATTTTCATATCCAGTTTAAAGATAAAGAAACTGATGCACAAAGAGTGTATCTGTCCATTCTTACACTGCCATAAAGATCTGCCCTGAGACTGGGCAATGTGTGAAAGAAAGAGGTTTAATTGACTTACAGTTCTGGATGGCTGGGGAAGCCTCAGGAAACTTACAATTACGGCAGAAGGGGAAGCAGGCACTTTCTTCACAAGGCAGTAGGCTAGAGAGAGAGAGAGAGACAGAGAGTATGAATGCAGAAGTACTACAATTTAAAACCATCAGCTCTCATGAGAACTTAGTATCAGAAAAGCATGAAAGACACAGCCCCCACGATCAAATTGCCTTTCACCCAGTCCCTCCCCTGACATGTGGGAATTACAATTTGGGATGAGATTTAGGTAGGGACACAGAGTCAAATCATATCAAAGAGGTTGAGTAGTTTATCCAGAGACATATATCTAATATGCTTGAGAACCAAGATTCAAACTCACAAAATCCAACTCCAGACCTATACCTCCTAATATTAATGCTGCATTGCTTCTCCAAGTAGACTTTAGGTCTCTGAATTACAAATAATAATAATTATCTGCTCAACATATATTCGTGGAATTTATTTATTTGTTGAATCCTACCATGAGTTGGATTTTGCTCTAAGTGCTGGTACTGTACTGGAAAAGAGGAAATGGAACATTCCGAAGTAAATTCAATATTGAAGAACACTCTAAAAAAATCTTCCTCTGATATGCAATTTCCATCTTATCAAGAACACTGAGTAGGTTTTGTTTTCTACACTCTTTCAGATAGAAAGCTCATGCCAATGACTATACTTGAGATTGTCATTCTTATATGAAGAGATTGATGTTGGCTCTACTCTAGCTGAGAACTTGGCTGTGAAAGCAATATAGTAGAAAGTGAAATTCTAGAAGAGATTAGCCAACAAAGATCTATGCTATTCTACTTTAATCTTTTAAGTATTTGAGTTGAGCATTGGGTGGGCTTTCCAATGCTCTCATACAAGTTTCAAGAGTTTCACAATTGATTGCCAATAATCAAATTATGAAGGTTGAAAAGATTAAAGAATATAAATACCTAGTTTTCAATTGAGGGAGAAGAAAATCTACCAACATTTTGACATCGCATTGCTTGCTTTTAAATATGCCCATAGTAGAATGTAAAACCTTCCATTGTAACGGTTGTTATAATGTGCAGAAAATGATACTAACAGAAATATTCTCATTAAAATCCTAATGAAACAATTGTGTCTTCCTTTAGGGATGTTACAAGATACTCTAACTAATAAGTCTATTTCCAAATGAGCTGACAAAATGAGCAAAGCTCTGCAGTTCTGCCTTTTGACTGTGTTATTTATGAATCTTTCTCATTATTAAGTCTCTTCTTAGCCTCCCACTCAATATGTACATGTGAACAAATTCAAAGATTCTGAACTTACAGAGGAAGTTGGAAATTTCCCCACAAGAAACTCAAGTCCATAAATCAGGGCAGCAATGGGAGTTCCTGCTATTTTAATGCATTTATAGTAATAACATCTACTGAATGTAATTTAAAAAATGTAATTTTCAGCTCCTTAAATTAGTGAGTGTAAGTATGATATCTGACAGCACCTATGTATTATTCTTAAATAATCATAAGAGGGACAATTCTTTCCACAAAAGATATTATTTCCCATAAATTCACAATATGGAATCAAACTGCTGAAATTATATATATATATATATATATATATATATATATATAGCCATGCCTATTGAAATATATAACACACACACACACACACACACCCCCCAGGTGTATCACACGAAGTGTGTGTGTGTATGTGTTTGATGAAAATCAATGCTTCAGTTTCAAACAGCTCTGTGTAACTGGCTCATATGTTACATAAACTAAGCACCTTGGTTCTTAAAGAGTTAATTCACTACAGGGGCAAGCAATTTTGCCTTACATAATGACCTCTAAAGTATCTATGTTAAGATAAATGGAGTCAAAGTATAGGTAATAATTCAAAATAGGAAACAGTAGCATACATTTCTTTGAGCCTTGGGAAGCTTCACATGATTTATTATGCTTACTGAACTTATCTTCATAATGAAGTTGTTTTAAAATGGATATTAAAAAGATCTAGGTATACCTGAGAACAAAGGAAAACAAAATTGGCAGATGGCCATGATGGAAAAATTCTAAGTGTCAGAAAAAAGCTGATCCAGAATCCAAAATTGTCTGTATGTTCCCCATAACATGGGTACCTGATAGGTGAGTGTGATTAGACTCAACTGAGCAATTATAGGGTATTTGACCTATTTCCAATCACTTTATTCAAACTTAATTCATAATTAGAAGATGGATTCTGCTTAATTTCCTAACTAGATAATGCATTGTTCCCTATATAAAATTTTAGCAGAAAATGAGATAGTATATAACCCATAGTTTGTACCATAGGAAGTTTTTCTAATTATGATAAGGCTACATTTGTTACAGAAAAGTATCTAAGCATTTAAACAAGGTTTTGTATGGAAAAGCTGAAATAAATGGACTTACTACTACTAATCACATGGCCACTTAAATTTTCACAATATACTTAATTTCAACCAAAAATCAATAAGGAATTTTGAAGCTGTTTTAATAATTTCCTTTAGTATCATAATAAAAAGAACGGAGCAGCGTGATCTGTTTTAAATGGCTCTCAGGAACAATAGGCTGCTTTTCACAGGAGTTGAAAGAGAAAATGGATGAGCTCCTGCCCTTAATCCCCGTGCTGGAACAGTATAAAACAGATGCTAAGTTAATCACCCAGTTCAAGGAGGAAATCCGGAATCTGTCTGCCGTCCTCACTGGAATTCAGGAGGAAATTGGCGCCTATGACTATGAGGAGCTACATCAAAGAGTGCTGAGCTTGGAAACCAGACTTCGTGACTGCATGAAAAAACTAAGTGAGTATGACAATTTCCTTTGTCTAAGTTACGTTTTTATGTAGTTTCAAAAAAAATGTGTTCTTAATGTTTTATAAAGAGTCATAAAATATCTCATTGTAAGAAATCAGAGCCTAAGTGTGAAGTGTCCCCTAATGACTTAAGCATGTCTAGGTGCTCTTTGCCAGATCAATGGCTTCTTGATTTTTAGAGCACTGTGTCACCATTTGGTGGCTTCATATAAGTAGTCTGGCAAATACAGTCAACTTTATTGACTACACTAGTGGACACACATTTTATTTTCCAATATGTGATTATCAGTCATTGCTTGGCCAGGGGAAAAAGAAGCCTTTGTTGCTGTTCTTGTTGTTGTTAGTGGGGAAATTTAGAGACGAAGGAAAAGGAAGTTACCCTGGAACCAAATGTTAAACAGCAATTATTAAGGCAAATGGAAACAGGTCCTTCAATTTATAGCATTGTCATCAACTGCTCTGATCTACTGAAGAAATGAAAAGGAGGCAGCTACTTAAATGTACTCGCCACTGTGTAAGGAGTCAAGTGTGTGGCCTGGGTCGTGGGCTTTAGTTCTTGCCTCCTAAAATGTGTGGTCCACCCTGGTCTGAGTTACAAACTCTTTCATGGCATCCATGAGCCAATTATTCAGTCGAAGTCAACATGGGACTAGTCTGCAACTTGAATGTAAAATAAGCAAGTAGCCATGAATTGAACAGGAGGAGTGGTAAGTTTATTCAGGATCAGTATTTTAGTTGCAGGCATGATGTGGCATGACAAGGAGGGCAACTCCATACCTATAGCAAGTGTCCTCTCAAGAGAAATAAAACCTTTTGTGGAACAGAAAAACTGGGAAGAGGAGCATTAAAAAAGCATTAAAAAAGAATGATTAACTATTTCTAGTAAAGAAAACTTCAGTGAACAAATGTCAACATTTAAAATACAATTTGAGTGGCTTACAAGAACATTTTAAAGATTGTTTTACAAATATGCTTCATGTGATAAAAAGAGATCCAAAATGCAAAATGTTGCATTCAGTTATCACAGCCTCAAAATAGTGTGGGATATTGCCACATCAGAGGCCCCACTGCCATCATACTAGGATTTCTAAGAGAATCCAACAAAGTGAATCCGAAAGAAATAAGGTAAACCTGAAGGCCTAAACACATGTCCAAGATCCTCAGCTCCTTACCCCTCATCAAACACAGTCTACACTCTTTCATCTACACTTTGTCTCCTAACAATCAACTATGTGTAATAGATCCTGTGACTCTAGTTTTCCTTCCTCTCTAACTCATTGTGTACATTATTTCCCAAGGGATTTTCTAAAGTATAAATATGAAATTATTTTGAGCTTCTTAAAATCTCCTATGGATTCCTTATGTCATAAGATACAGTCCATGGCTTATGTGAACCTTCATGGGTGGACCCTTCTGCTTCTCCAGGCTTAGGTTTTGCCACTTCTCTCCTCACATACTAAGTTCCAGTCATGTGTGCCTTCCACTGTCTTACTATAGAGCTGTTATAAGTTGCTGTTTGTTCCTGCTCCTGAAACACTCCTTCCCCTAGGTAGCCTCCCTTCATCAACACACTTTCACCTGTCACATGTGATAAACTATTCATTCATCAGGTCTCAGTTAAAATGTTATGTCTTGCTGGAATCATTCATTGCCCTCCCAGACTAGGCTGGTGTCCTTGACAGGCACTTCCAAACCCTGATATTTCACTAATGATTGGACTTCTCTTGTTTCGTTATCATCCTACGTGTAATAAAATGTGTCCTCCTAGACATTTTTTCCGAGGAACAAGAGAACAATGTGTATCATATTCACTCTAGGTGTTGGATCTTCCAATGCCTAGAAAATTGCCTGGCTAAGAAAAGACACTCAATAAATATTTGGTGAATAAATTTACTCTATAAGGAATCAGAGGAATAATTTCTATGCTTCTCAACAGAGTATTACTCATTTCAAGTAGCAGAGAATGATCTGTTTTACTTGTAACAAGAAATGCATCTTTTTAGCCACATCCTATTTGAGTCATAATGGCAGGGTGTGATGAGACTAAGCAAGGGAAAAGTTATTTATTTAACATAGCACTTAAATAATTTTTTAATGTGCTCTGCTTTTATAATTGAAGTTGTACAGTTTATGGTTAATATACAATAGGTAAACATTACTTATATAAGAAAATTCTGCAGTTATATATTTTTTTATATTAAGAAATATCTTTAGTTCAATGCTCATATTAGTGACAGGGCTTGCCAGATGGTATCTCCACCAAATAAGATAAGAAGTAAATCTCAAATGAAGAATTACCCGGTGTCCTCAATATGCACATTACTTAGGGGGTTACAAAGAAATATCCCAATGCATTTTGCATTAACTCGTAAAATATGTTTAAAGATTTTCTGCAAGAGACAGTCTGTAGGATTTGTCTGGGTAGGGCTTTGACTTACTTTTGAGGAGGAGGCCCATTTGTTATAGAGAAACCATTCCAGACCCTGAGAATCCATTCACTCTTTTATTCCTAGTGTATCACAATCAACCCAAGCCCATAGGCATTGCATGTAGTGAACCAGCATCTGCTAAGTAAAAATGCACTCCACTGAAGCAAGGACAAGCAATAGGATGATTCTAGTTAGTAAAGCCCCTGAAACTTAAAGTATGTCAGTTATGTTTTTGAGTGAACAATACAGAAAACTCCCGGGATTTGTTCAGTTTTAGAAATGAGTTTTCCTTCTACAGGTATTCTGTCTGCTTTACTAGACGGAAATAATCTGTACTGCAGTTGGGTAGTTCTATATATTCCCCAGCTCTTTTTCAATCCCATTTGTTTGTTTTTTCTCATCCACGTATTGCATCTTCCAATACTGAAAATGATATTTTGGACCAAGAGGGTTAATCTAAGTAGACCATATTCATCCTTTTTATTCTTCCTCCTGAACTTCGTATATTATTTGTATAGTGTCCTTATGCTTAGCACTTGATCCTTAATATCGGCAACATCACGGATCTTTTCAATTAATTTTCTCCAGTGGACCACAGTGTTAGAAATAATTTGATTGACAAATAAACTGCATTAGTTAATCAATATTTATTTTATTTTAGCTAATCTAAAATAAAACTTGGCAACTAATACAATACAAATACCAAACAGCAATAAAATAGTATTCAACTTCCTTATTTAATGAGATGGTTGCTGTATAAGCTAATTGAGATGACCCTATAAAATACTGCAAATAGTTCCTATGTTTCACAAATGCTTGCGTAGATTATTAGCGGCCCTCAGCTTCTTATTCACTTAGTAGAGAGGCCATTGCCACCAACAATGAATCTAACTCTTTCATGCTTTTTATCTCAAGAACTGTGTAGATTTTACTATCCCATCACGTTTAAGTCAATTGACACTTATTGAGCATCTCCTGAGGAAAAAGGATATTTTATCAACTGGACCACAGCCGTTAATTACAATGTAGAAAACATCCAGGAAGAGCCATACAGTCCTAATACAGTGAAATATAAAGCCACATGGTCACTGAAAAAATAAATAAATGAATCCTCATATTTTCTATTTTTTAAAAGAGCCACTCTATTTGAAACAAGATGTCTGGTAGTATATTATATATATATTGCATAAATGTATGTAGGTATATACACAACTGCAAAAGAAATCAAACATATAACTGAGTGTACCAGTAGGTTATAATTTGATTAACACTCAATTTAGTATTTACATTTCCTGGCAATTGGTACAGTTTGGATCAATTCATCTCTGAGAACCCTTTAACTCCAAGTCTAATATTATCTCATAAGTGTCTGATTATCCATATATCAGAATGCATGGACTTCGGAAAGAAAACTGATGTTAACTTCAGGACCATTAACAGAAGGGTAGAGAAAAAGAAAAGCATATCAGGGGTTCAATTGCTCCAAAAGGTCTATAATCTAGTTGCTATTATGCTCAGATCTAGAGTGGGACATTGGATAATTATAGAATCAGCAATATAGTAACAAGAGCAAGAAGACTTATTCATCAATGGCATCTTCACTCTACACAAATGCTTCTCAACCCACACGGCCAATTAGCAGAGGGTAGAAATGGATTAGAGAGAAACAATAAAATTACAACAATGATGAATGTGTTGTCCCTCACTTTTTCAGGGCATTTGCTTTTAAATAAATGTCACAAGGTACATCACATGAATTTTAAGATGCTAAAAAACAAGCTAGTCTTATCGCCTGAAAGATCTAAGTTACCCCCAAATAGTAAATAAGGCCCTAAAGGAAACATAAGTCATCAAGACCGCTAGGGCACCATGGGCACTATTTTGCTTATTTCTACTACAGAATTAATTAAAGGTTTGAAAAATTGGGAAATTGTCTCAACAACAATGCACCCTCTGGCCTGAATGAGGTACAGTAATGTCCTTTTCTAAGTGCTTAATGTACTCCAATGAAAGACAGAAGAGAATAAAGTCCCCTTTTCTTAACTGAATCATGTCGCATTCCTAGATATGCAGAACGTAACTGTATGTATGTGAGAATTTGACTGAAAACATGGTTAAAGTTCATACACACCCATAAGAACACCAAATAGATATTTAATATAGATTACTATAAGGATTTCCAGCTTTCCATTCCTTTGCCCCCAACTCCCTTGTGTTAGTGCTGTTTTAGGGCAATGGTTTGGTGCCATCTAGTGAAGCACCAGATTCTATTACACTCAAATGTTCCTTCTCTTCTCAAAACTGAAGTTTTGAGACTTCATGTTTAACAGAAGGAACATTAGAAACTTAAGGTCACAAGTAGAGACTTGAGTTTACTGTCTTTACTTTTTATGCCAAATTAGTTTTTAAACAAGAACCAAATTATATTCTAACACTTTTATTTAACAATTATTTATTGACTCCCTAACGTGTCCTGGTATTTGTGGATATAAAGATGAGAAGGAGACCGTCTCCCTCTTCCTGTCAAGGTTACATTTTAGTGGGGACAACTGACACATAA